TGAAGAGCACTAAGCAAACTTATGTAAGAAACAATATTCTCAGTCTCTTTAACGGTTTGAAAAAAACATATTCCTTCGAGGAAGTTTTCAGTTGAGATACAAAGATACTGAGTATTTAAAGCAGAACTACTCTACCTTTAAGTGCAGTTTCTGCAGATGGTTCAAACGCTGCTTCTTTGACTTCCTGGCCAAGTTTTCCTCGCCTTACACCTGTTCTTACTCTGGTGGCATAACACTGTTAGATTTGGAAATAGCATAAAAAAAGATGTTATGAAATAAAATACAAGACATTCTTATCAACTTACTTGCTACACTTGAAATTGTTACATACTCTGTGCTTACCTCCCAAACATATGACGCAACTGTGTTCAAGGGAAACAACTGAACATTAAAGTTTAGAAACCTTTGTGAAAAACATCCACACACTCTACAATTGGAGAACCAATGCATTTCAGAAGCTGAAGTTCTCAGACTGCATTTCATCTACTCTTGTCCCACCATACTAAACACTGCCACATGCCTTTTTTTCAAATGTAAAAACACAATCTTTACTTTATTATTTTGTAAAAAAATATTTTGCTTCCCACATTAAAATACTATTCATGTAAACACTTTAATGTAAAAAATATTCTAGCACAATATTTATACTTTGCAGACATTAAATTTGGAAAAGCAACCTGAATTCTTTGCTTTCAATTCTAACCTTGATTTAGAGAACAAACCTTGAATCAAGGCCTATAAACTCAAGATTTTAAAGGCTGACAAGCTCCAAGTAACTATAGTATGCTACTCAATGTCTTAGTTAGTTGCAAAAGCAACACAGAATAAACCCATATTAAAGTTCAAAAATAACTTTTGAAGTTTTCTTACCATTTTTTCCAGGTAATTTTAAATTAAACTTGCACCTGAGCAGCCAAGGACTCACTCAAAGCTGTGAGTTTAACACTAAAACTCGAGATCTAAAGCACTGCCATCAGCCATCAGAGCTCTATAAGTCAGGACCTTTACCATAGCCCTTCAGTTTTGGTGTGTTTAGCAGATAACAAAATCTTGCCCAACACTTGAAAACTCGCACACACACAAAAAGACACAACACATCTACAAACTTGGAACACTTAAGAGGAAAACACAATGGAAGTGAAGAACTTGCCAGTGGCTCTTTCACCACAGAGGTGACAGAAGAGCAACATCCTCTTACGGTTGCTTTCTGCCTGGCTAGAAAGTATGTCTGCAACATCTCTCAATGAAGAATAAACAGACAGTGTCTCAGTATAATGACAAGTTTCTAAAGTTGCTGGTTAGATCTGTGATTGTCCTGCCATAGCTCAGAAATTGCTCTAACCTGGGCTACAGCTCTAAACACATGTTGGGACTAAAATAATTACAAAGAAAGTTTTTACTTTAATGTTATATTCAAGACTGTAACTTGGAAACAGGGAGACAGGACAAGAATTTCTGTTCCTCCCATTTTACACAGCAAAGCCTATCTGTCTCTAACTGTCTCCTTTAAGTTATTTTCCCCATTAATTCCAAGAGAAAAATAAGTAATTGGAATAGAAGATATCACTTCAAATGCTTTAAAAACCCTGTGGTTGGACTGAGCAATATTATTCCTTCAGTAAATTAGAGCAGGTAGGTACCTCAAACAAGCAGAAGACTTTTGATCACCCAAAGCAGGTACCCCATGCAAAATGATTCTTCTGGCAATACACTCAACTCTTTAAAATACCTGCCGTTGGGACCACCAGAAAGAGGATTTACATTACCTGGTTAGGCTGCCACAGCCTGTATGCTTTTATATTGGAGTTCCTCAAGGCTGGGGAAGCCTGAGTGATAGCAGGGCGGATAGTCTGGCATGACAGTGCCCTCAGGCACACCAGCCTTGCAGCCAGCATGGTTGCTCAGATAACTTGGCACACTGTGTTCCTGCAAATACACAAGAAAATACATTTTACTATTTTCTTACAAGGTTTTCAGATAAGGCACACTTAATACTTATTCTCAACCACAATAAAAGTAGTAAAGAAAATAAAAAAATAAAACAAAAAAATCCCCAAATAAAAAAAAAAGCCTACAGTTAAACCATTATTATTACTATAAGTACTGTAATAAGACATAGAACCTTCTTAAATGCAGTTTAACTCTGTTTCACTTGTATTTATCTCCCATTTCCATCAGAGACTTCTCTCTCACAGCTTACTAAAAAACAGAGAACACACTACTTTTCATGCCATAAAATAAATCAAGACCCTTTATGTACTTACATTTGAGTTACCCTGGCAACTAACCTTCACTTTGAGACATAACACTGCATGAGTGCTCTGCCCTCCACATAAATGCTCAAAAAGCTGCCCTAAAGTTAAACTCCATCTAAGTCTAAACCCAAATGAGTAAACAGCACAACATACGTGGTGGAAAAAAGTTTTAAGAGAAACTTTAAGCTACCCTTTAAAGAATTAGTTGGTTTTGTGGGCACAGCACTCAGTCAAGGTCACAGCGCAGAACACAGGTTCAGATCATACTGAGCAGCCCTGACCAGAAAACAGGGACGCCGCTCCTGGCCAGACGGACAGACACAGCCCTTGTGTTCCGCAGGCAGTGTGAAAACTACCCCTCACTGCCACAAACGGCGCACGTTATACACCCCCCCCCCCTTAATTATGAATACACACAACCTCTGATATCACAGGACACCCCAACTACCAGTACCTTTTTTTCAAAGGTCATACCTTACGTGTGCAGCGTCCAGTATGATCTAAGAGCATCCTAAACAAAGGTAACCTTAATAAACACGAGTGAGAACAAGCACGCACAGCACCGAACAACTCACATTAACCACAGAGACGCGACAGGGAGAAATTAATCCTGCTGCTAGAAAGCTACTTTGCTCTGAAGTAGAGCTATGAAATCCTGCTTCCATAACGGGAAGTACTTTACGAGGCACATCCCGGCCTGTCCCACTGCACCCAGACCCGGACGACAAGGCCTGCAGAAACTCACAGTGCCAACTCTGGGATCTTGGCCTTTTTTCCCCTGGAACCTGATACTTGAAGCAAGACAACCTCAAGCGCTTTACAAAGAGCAAGAGAGCTAAAACCAGAATAAAACCCCACGGACATTCCCGCGTATTAACTGGCCATAACCGGCACTAACGTAACGCAGCGCTGCGCAGGCACCGCCGCACCTCAAACCCCTCCCGGGCCCGGCGGGGCGGCGCTCGCGTCCGCCACAGCATGGGTGGACCGTGGACCCTCTCCCGTTTTCGGCCCTGCCGCTCCCCCCACACCCCTGTCCCGTCCCGGCCCGTCCCGGCCCGTCCCGGCCCGTCCCGTACCTGCCCCGCCGCCTCCTACGCGCCCGCCCCGCTCCGACCCCGCGCGGCCCCAGCCCCTCGGCAGCGGAACTGACGCCAGCCCGCCCCTAGCGCTCCCTGCTCCGATTGGCTCGCCCGACCCACGTGACTGCGGAGCCCGCAGGCGCCATTGGCTGGAGGGGGCGGGGGAGGTGCCGCGCGGCGGCCATCTTTGAGGCGGCGGGGAAGGTTCTGGAAGGGCGCGGGCGGGGCCGGCGCTGCCGAGGGGCGGCCGGGCCAGCAGGGGGCGCGCGGCCGCCCCGGCCGGGTATGACGGGAGTGCAGGGCCGTGTGAATGTTGTGCGGAGATATTAACGGGATACGGATATGTGGATATATGGATGTTATACCAATGTGACCTTTAAGTGCCAGCCCGCCCACCTCACGGCCCCCGTGTCACCTCTGCTGCTCGCTGCCCGTGAATTTAAGTCTTGCCCTTTTCAGGGTCTCACAAGGTTAAGGACCTTTGTACTCCCTTCCCTTACGGCTCAGCAGTCTAGCATGAACAAGGAGATAAATCTCCCCCTTTGTTAACCTCTTTGGAGTTACATCTCTCTTGCATGTGGATTATATTACATGCTTTAAGGTGCTCACATGCCAGATAAGCATAAAATACAATATTGTGTGCATAAATTACAGAAGCGGATGCTGCCAGCCCTAATCCCAGCCTTGCAAGGGCAGTCCAGAGCCCTTGCAGGGGCTAAACATTCCCTTTTTGGGCTAAACTATTTCTGTTCTGGCAGCTTCTTTCCAGCATCACTCTACTTGGAGCTCTGAGATACTTTCCAAGTGTAACCCTAATGCTAAACTGAGCCCTAGGAAAAGCAGAGCAGCACTTCCCTGGACTATCAATTCCTCAGGGAAGTTTTCTCTCTGAAGTTCTTGCAGTCCTTTGGCAGCTCAACTCCAAATGGACCTCTGGCGTTTACTCTCCACCAGCACTAACCCTAAACCAAACGCTTGTGACACGGCTCAGTCCAGACCCTTACTATTACCAGAAGAATTCTTTCGGCAGCCTTATTTCTCCTTTGCCAGCCCCATCCCAGCTGCATATCAGCATTTCTTGTTCTCTCAGTGCTAGAGCTAATCCTCACTCTAGAATGAGTTAGGCACTCATTCTAGAGTTAGGCACTACTGAGACACTCAATATTCTTCAGAGAACTCTTTTTGGCAAACTGTGTTTGCTTTGGGAGCCCCTTTCCAGCCCCACTACAGCTACAGCTCTGTAGTTTCAACCTTAACACTACATATGGGCATGGTTCTTCACAGCCCAGTAAAACACATTGTGAGAGTCTTTAGCAGGATCAAAGACAAAATATATATATTAAAAAAAAAGTGTTGAATATAGAATTAAGTCCAGAAATAGAGTTACAGACATGCTTTTGAGAATTGTGACATTAGCCTCTCCATATCTTGGAGACCCCTTGTTTAAATTATAAGAAAGAAAATACAGTGAACTGCTAGTTTGCAGAATGAAAGTCAGATAACGGAGATCGCACATGGGAGAGGTCTGAAAATGCACCAGCAGATATGATCTTGAAGAAGAATTTGAATTAGAAGAATGAAGAAGAATGCATGATAGAAGGGTGGAAATTCCATCAAAGGGGGCCATGTCTAATGGGATTTGAGGTCCAATTTTTACTTACTTTGACACTTGTTTCCTTTCTGTTGGAATAAATGAAAATCCAGAGCTTTCTCCTACAATGTAAGAAAAAATGTCAGTTTCAGGCCATAAATATGTTGTTTATTTAGAGACTTGTAGTGCTTATTTCAGAGTTTGTAACACTCTCTAATTGTTAGGTACTAAAGGATTCATTAGAATAATTAATATTTAAATTTATAATTCAGTTATTAATAGTAATAATTTATGCAAGGAATCAAACATCTCTTTTACTACAGCATATAATCATGTAAAGAACTCTCCTGGGACTTTCAAGTAAGCTACTCAATCCAGCTTTTTCCCAACTGTTTCTTAAGTACATAGTTTTGTCAGAGGCAACCCAAATCTACACAGAGCCCACCCTGCAGCAAACTCAGATGTTGAAGCTTTTTCACAGAAACTTGCCTGTTAGCATCCTTTTCTACTAGATGGCCAACACTGGAAATGCTCCAGCTAGCAAAATCCATGTGTGAGTGGGTAAACAGTGGCCTCTTATGTCCTAAAGAGTTTTTCAGTTGAAAGCAGCAGGTTGGATCCTCTTTGCTGGCACCACAGTACCTGACTTTCTCTCAGGCAGGAAGGCAGCAGCTTCGGTCCCTGTGCCACCTGGGTCTGCTGCAGAGCTGCAAAGCAGCTGGCTGGGCTTTTGCAGTAGTTGGAGCCCATGCTGACAAAAGCAGGGATAACAGCACGACAGAGGCTTCTTGGTGAGACAGCAGCCAAATGCACACATAAAAATTGGCTTTTTAACTCCAATGTGCTCTTCCTTCATGGGATTGTCTTCAAGTGCACTGTGCATCCACCACCTGGGTCTGGGTCCAGTGCTGTTTAGCATCATTGTTAATGACCTGGATGATGGGGCAGAGCGTGCCTTCAGGTTTGCAGAGGATACAACGCTCAGAGGGGTGGGTGCTACACCAGCTGGTTGTGCTGCCATCCAGAGGGACATAGATTGGCATGAGAATTGGGCAAACGGGAATGTCATGCCATTCAGCAAAAGGAAGTGCAAAGCCCTGCATCTGGGGAGGAACAGCCCCATTCACCAGCACAGGTTGGGGTTGTCCAGCTGGAAAGCAGAAAGGTATGGACATACTGGAGAGAGTCCAGCAAAGGGCCACAGAGGTGATTAAGTAACAAGGACAGGCTGAGAGAGGTGGGACTGCTTTATCTGAAGAAGAGAGAGCTTAGAAGACCTTATCAATGTGTATAAATTCCTGATGGCAGGGAGTAAAGGAGAAGGAGCCAGACTCTACTCAGTGATTTCCAGTGACAGGACAAGAGACAATGGACATAAACTGAAGTACAAGACATTTTGTTTAAACATAAGAATTTTTTAGTGATTTTTTTTTTTTTTTTTTACTATAAGAGTGATCGATCAGTGGAATGGGTTGCTCACAGCATTGTGGAGTCTCCATCTGTGGAGATTTTCAAAAGGTGACTGGACATAGTCCTAAGCAACCTGCTTGTGCAGGAGGGTTGGCCAAAATGATCTTCAGATGCCCCTGCCAACGACAGCTATTCTATGAGTCTATGAAATATTACTATAATGATGATTCCTGAAGGAACCGAAGCACTTATTTTTTTAGGACTGATATGCACCAATTAGAGGTGTTTGGAAAACAGTAAACATTATCTCCAGGTAATATGTAACAAAAACATAAAAAACCCCCCACAAAAATACTGTTTTTTTGAAAATCGGTAAACACTTCTTCAGTAATCAAAAATATAAACAGGAAAACTTGTACTGACATAAAAATTTTTTTTTCCCAATAGGCCATGTTTTCAACAACATGTTCTGTGTTTGTTGGAAATCTTACATGTCTCTAGGCAGGATCATTTACAGTTTGATATTAAAGGGTTAATGTCTAATTAGAAATTCTGCAAGATCTGAAAATACCATTGTGAAGGGACTTGAGTATCCTGAAGGAATGTGTGAAGTTGGCATGGCAGGCAATGGGGCAGGCTCCAAGCCCTGCCTCTCTGTCAGGCAGGAGCCAGGTGAGGAGCAGCCCTTCACCTGCTTCCCAGCCCTGCTAGTTCCCAGCAGTGACACTTCCCATAAATGGCTGATGCCAGGGCTTAAGGGATGGTGTTCTCCAGCTGCCATGTCCAAGGGGAAAGCTGATCTGACTGCCTGACTCCCAAAAGACTACTCCAAGCTCTGCTCCTCAAGTCTTGTATGAGAAACATCATGTATTTCCAAAAAATAAAGTCAGCCTGTTCTTAGAGATAAATGGTTTCTGAAGGGATTTTGTTGCCTTGCCATGAAAGCGAAGATCACAAGCAATGCAGTCAACTTTTGGGAGACACCACATGATGTACTTTCAACCATGCACTCTGCCTTGCCAGCTGCCTGAAATGGGAGAGCAAAAAAACTCTTACATATAGCTCTCTGAAATCCTGGAAAGCCACAGGAGCCACAAACCCATTATTGTGTTAATAAATAGGGTCAGTGTCAATCTGGAAGCTTAAGCTTTTAACTCGGCAGCTCTTACACCCTCCTGCAATTAAAAAAAAATCTCAGTTGTTCACGTGGCCTTGCTCATCAGCAGGAAATAAATAAACCTGTGGTTAGCACCATTTCTCCTTAGGTAAGCTTTACCATTGAAGTTTTTCAAGTTAGAGCTGAAGAAAAATATTTTGAAGGTTTTCTGGCTGTGCTGACTCTTACACTTCACATATCTCTCCCAGCAGATTACAGGGGACTTTTGGAGTTAATCTGTTCTGCTATTCATGTGACAAATGCATATTCATTAAGCATCATGTTCTTACTTTAGATTAGATATCATTAAACACTGCAGTGTAGAGGGAATTTAGGGAGACAGTGCTGATGTCTTTCTCAAACCCTGGCAAGAAAAAAATGCCATTAAACCGAGTATTACTTTACCGTGGAAGAATAAAGTGTTTGGCTGTAACTCCTTCTATGCAGGAGTTTGTGCAACAAGAGCAGGGTGGGATGTGCCAAAAGTGAAGCAGTGTCCATATTTTCTACAGGTGTGGGAATTTTTGGGGTCTTGGTTTATTCAGCCAGATCTCAAAACATTTCAAATAGACAGCTGCTTCATTTCAGTGGTACTGAACTGTGCTGACTCTGAGGTCAGTGTCTTCCCCCCTTGGCACCTTGTGAGATTTCAAAAGCATTGCACTGAAACTTGTACTGCACCTTGTATATTTTGAGGACTTGCATATATATTTAATTAAGCAAAAGTATCTTCAGTCTGTAATTGGAGGAAAATTTTGGGTGTGTTTGTGAAGAAATTCCCTATGCACTGTAATAACAAGCACTAGCTATAAGGAATTTCACATGTTTTATCTCTCTTGCTAAAATAAAATGAATCCATCATGGCAGGCACTTCTGGTGTAAAATAGTATCTTCTGGGCTATTTAAGGAATGGATGGATTTTTTTTTGTGTAAAAGATGGTGTTTTGAGCACAGCAAAAATAGCCAGTAGTTACCATAGATATTTTTAAAATTAATTTATATATACATTTGTTTAAAAAAATCATTTAAGAGTAGAAAACAAACAATATATCTGTTTGCAACCTCTGAAACAGCCTGAAAAATAAAACAATACACTTGAAAGAACAAAAATAGAAACTGTTTTAAATGTGTGTTTTCATACTGCTGGAGGTGTTCTGCTGTTGTCAGTACTCTTCATGACAAGCAGTGCTCTGAGTACACATACAAGTTTGCTCTGCAAGTATTTTGCAAACTTTAAATTTACTATGGAAAAAGGCTTTCAGGTAGAATTTATGGGAATATGCATGTCACAAAGTAGCTTTATGAGAGAAACAGATTCTGTTGGGATTTTCTTCAGACAGTACAATGTTTTCCTTTTTTGTCATACTAGAGAAAGGAGCATCATATCAAACCGTGTTAATAAAGAAGCTGGTGCTCTTCAAAGCCCTAAAGGTGAAAAAAGTCTGAACAGCCAGTTCTACTGAAAAATTCATTTGTCCCGTTTTTTGATCACTCATATTTAGGCCCTATTTTTGGAAATCACTTTGCTTTTCTATTTTCTGAGAAGATATATCATCCAGATTGTAATACCATTTTTTGTAGGTTTGATTCCCTGTGGCCATATCAATAATCCTTATGAATGAATTTGTGTCTCTAATCTGCATCTGCTTCCTTAGGGAAGAGGCTACCTCTGCTTTATTAGCAGTATCACCTTGTTTGTCCTAGCACTGCCATTTCCTCTTACTTACACTGGGTCTTTTCGTGACCTTTTCCCACCAAGTGCCTACCAGACTTTAGTCACCACTTGAAACATTCCCCCAGGCTTCCACTTGGTCACAATTCCAACACTCTTCTGTCTGCTTCCAAACCTGCTATGCTTTATCCTTTCTTTCTTTCTGACCTTCATCAGTCCCTTCCCTCTTCTGTTCTCTCTCCTGTACCAGCTGCAAAATGTGGGATTCATTCTGGCCTTGACAGTTTGTGGCTATTTAAACAAATGTTTTTTGCCCTGTCAAATGTTAATGCTAAACTTTATCAGCTACTAAAATAAATTTCCAAAATCAGATGCTCGATATCAAGACTTACCTTTTCCATTAATTAGATATTTTGCATCTCATTTGGAAAATGGGGACTACAGCATTAATTTCTATTCCCAGATTTAAACAAGGTTAAAATACATGAAAGTATATAAACTTGGATGTCAAATCCTCAGTTCAGTAAATTGCTCAAGCTTGTGAGTAACTGTGGAATAGCACTCTAATATAGTTAACCTAGAGTATATGCTCAAAACTTGTTTCTTTAGATACTTGGGAGAAGTGCTTTGGTTACTCAAGTGCTCAGAGATAAATGAAGATGAGTGCTATGGTGAACAAGGACCTGACATTGTGTGTTTATAAATGAATACAGAAGATGGAACATTTTGTTCACTCCAGGTTCTATTTGAATAAATTGTACATAAAAGGACATTTCTTTTTCTTGATCCCTGTTTTAGTCTATAGCATGCGTTATTTATTTACATCAGATGATAAAAAAAGCTAAAACAGTTTAAAAATATTTTTCAATGGAAGGGAGAAACCTACATTTACAGCATAAGACCTCTTAACCTCCAAGAAATTGCTATTCATTTTGTTTCAATACAACAAATACTCATTTTCCTAAATGCCTGTGAACTCTATGCTGCAGCAAAAAAATGACCTAGGGCTTTTTCTGAAATTGCTGTTTGTGCTTTCTAATTACTTTTAACATGCAGAGTACTGTTCTTCTGCAACTTCTTGGAAAAAAAAGCCTATTTGAAATTCAGTAAGCTTTTATTTAAATTGATTGGTTTCCACCTGGATAGAGTGAAATTTTCTTCTTGGATAGTTTATTAGTACATTAAAAGATGCAAATTAATTCATAATTCTTTCAGCTCGTTCTCTTGGGAACAATTATACAAGGAAATTATTAATGTACAAGAAAACAACAGTTAAAAATCTCAAAGGGCAACAGAGGTGTGGAATATATGAAAACATTTAGACCTAGCTAATAGAAGAACTCGTTATAATAATAACAGTTCATAAACCAATTTTAATTTTTCTTTATTTGTAAACTGATAGCAGCCACATGGTGCAGACAAGCAATCAAAGACTCTGGCAAAGGAAGTTTGCAGTTAAAGGCCCTGTTTTCAATGAAGTGCTGCAGAAACGCAGTGTGAGAGTTGAACACACGATACCAGGGCCTCTAAGGATCACAGCCAAACTTAAGGCTTCCATGAGTTCACCACTGTCCGTGTCTTTGATATATCCCATCCCATGATGATTGTATACTAGACTATTATTTCAATGTAAGCCTCTGCACTCTGGTAAATAAGCCAAATATTTTTCATCTGGAATGAAAACCTCTCAGAATCTAGTTAATATTTGATGATAAAAGAGCAAACAGATTTGTTTTTAGGCTTCTTTGATCCACCTATTTTTTCTCCTCTCAGTTAAGGTGTTAAGCAACTCAGTTACCTTCCATTTCTCTTTTCATCATTTATCCAGCATGCTTTTAATATTACATATCTGATGAAAATTTCCAATCTTTTTACAATCAGAGTCATGACACAGGCTATCACCAGGATACCTGTAATGACTCTTGGCTGTCTGCTTCCAGCACTCCCTGACATATGGCTATCAATGAAAAGACTGAGAGGGAAACACACGCTCTCAAAATATTGTAAAACAAGCACCACTACTGAGAGAAGTTTGCCCATCACACGTGGGCATTATCCTGTCCTAAAGAACTTGCCCTTTTATAATTTTAAGCACAGCCACATATGCCAATATCCGTTTCCTTGAGGCCTCTACACAAAGTCTGACCATACCTTAATGTACTGAGGCAGAGAAACAGGGGCATCACATGAACTGAGAACAAGATTAAATTATGGAAATGTAGGAATGTAATAACTTGTATTAGACTCTCTCACATATGCCTTTTGCTATAGACTGTAAAGAGTAGAATTTACAAATGAAAAAAGCATACACTTGAAAAAATAAGATGTTCTACAAATATTTCTCTCAGTTTTCAGAATAGCATAAGAACTGAAATAATAAAAATCTAAATAACATGGACTGACAAAAAATAAATCCTCAAGAAGAGGAGTGGACACAGCAGAACTGTTGTATATACAAATCAGACAAAAATCCAGCTTCTAAATACAGCAATATTTACTGTATTTTCTAGTGACAGTGGACCACTTCCAAAACATCCTCTCTCAAAAAAATTCCCAAATTCCAAAGGAGAGACTTTGTTTTGATGATGTGTATAAAGGAAAAAGATAAGTTTTTACATGTTAAAAAATGGTACTGTTGAAAATACTGGTTGAATCTCTGTTCTGTCCTTTTGCAGTTGCCTGACTGGATGAATATATTTCCTTTGGCAAGCTAAAATAGGCAGTTTGCTTCCAGAGGAACAATTCTATCTCACAGTTCAGCTAAGACTACTGAGAGAAATCAAGGATTATTACCTATTTAATGCCACCATTCTGTATATTTAGAAGAACATACTGGAAAAATAATTATTTAACACCCCTATGCAACTCAAATTCCACTAGCCTCTTTTGGTTATTTTGTTCTCTGCTGGTTTCTGCTAGAGACCAAAATCCCCATTAACTGGGAGAGAAAGAGTTGTCAAGGAATCAGAAGAACATTTCTGATTGAGAATAGTGACAAGGGACTATTATGATTAAACAGTTTTCAAATGCAAATTTAACTATATGAAAATGCAAGAACAAGTTTGGTTTTTTCCCCTCCTGAGCTCAGAAGAATAAAAGCTATTTTTAATGTCATGCTTATTTTTGCCCTTTAAAAAAAAAAAAAAAGCCAACAAAGCCACAATATAGAAAACTCCAGATGAAGAGGTCTGTGATATGCTGGGGGCAATAAGAGGGTGAGACAGAGCAGGATTTTTATAAGCAAATTTTTCATCCTGTAAGACTTTGCTCTGGGCTGTGAAATGGGAAACAAGCTGATGGCATCAATTTGATTCTGAAGGGTCATGTGCCTATATAAGAAAGCTGTAATTTAACTTAATGTGGGATGACATTTCTGTAACTTTAAGGACTAAATGGACAAAGATATTCCATGTCACCATTGAAGTGATTTCTTATAAGGCTAGCACCAAGGTTCTGTGGCTGAGATCCCTCAGCTGGTGCCTCTGTGATAAGCCTCTTTGGCAGCAAACCAACAATGTCAGCCTAGCATAAATATAAGTGCCAGATCCATTTTTTCCCTTTGAAGTGCACAATCTTAAAGGATCAGGATAAAGCCCTGGAGAAAACAATATTCAGGTTAAATATCTTCATTGTTCTCAAGAAATTACTTTAGTAGCTATTCCAATTAATCATGGTCATTCCCTATCTATCTAGACAGCAGACAGAGAAAAGAAGTGTTATGCAAGGTCAGACTTTCAGGAGTTTTTCCCCTTTAGACACAAGCACAGAGGCTTGAGCTAACATACAAACTCAGCAGGCTACAGGTAAAAATGGTGAGAGCCCCTCTAAATATAAGACTCTGGGTTTGGTTACTGTATTTCTAAGATTTGGCCCTTAGCATCATAATTTTTCAGAAACTAGCTGCTGATTGCTAGCAAAGCAAAATCTGTGATATAAATGTGTGAAACTATGAGACATTGAAAGAAATCACTCTGGAAATGCAGTGATGCCTCATTGATCCAGCAAATTCACTTAGGCCATTGAAGTGTTCCCATCCCTGTTGTCAAAGCCTTGCTCATCTACCAGAGGTGGCCAAGTGAGACATACCTGAGGTGGTGCAGTTTCCTCCCCAGTAGCCAGAAAGCAAATGAACTGGAATTTTGAATCTCAGTCTTTTCTTTGAAATGGATATTGTTTCAACTGTGATCATAACGAGTGGTGAAAAAGCACCATAAAACCACCTTGGTTTAGTTTTAAAGATATTTATGGGGAGTCCTACTTATTGCTAAATGATGGAGAACAGTTATAATCTGCTATAGTTAATTTACTGCTACATAAGTAAAAATGTGCTAAGAGCAGCACACTTGTTAAATTAAAGCTCACTTAATGATTACACAGCACTTGGGAATAACATCCAGCTAAAGAGTAAGCAGTAATGGATGTTTTCTATAGCATCATTCATTTCAGGAAAATAAGACAACCAAAGCCCTTTGCATTTTTGCTGATGATAAAAAGATACAAAATACCAGAAAGTAGACCAGAAGGGATTTCCTCTTTTAGTGGATATTGGAGTACTTACCACAGCTGATGCAACTACCATGAGGTGGTTACTGGCTCTGATTGTCCACCCTATTACAGCAGGTTGAGCTGAAGTCAGTACTATTATCTTGCTGTATCACTCTTACAACAGACTGAAAAAAAATCAGATAAAATACTGATCTGGGTATTATCGAGCCTCTTCATCATTTTTTGCCTGTCACCACAGTATCTGAACATGTGATTGTTAAATCAATAGTAATAACAAAATCCCAAGACTCAGAGAAAAGCTAGTATTTTCCTCTTTATGGAAGTGAGGATTTTAGTTGAATCAGGGTTATTTTTTTGGGTAGGGAGTAACCTTGTGTTGTGGTTTAACCCCAGCCGGGACCCAAGGCCCGCACAGCCGCTCGCTCACTTCCCCACCAGCGGGATTGGGGACACAGTCAGAAGGGTAAAAGCTGGAAAATTTGTGGGTTGAGTTAAAGACAATTTAATAGGGAAAGCAAAAGCCACACATACAAGCAAAGCAAAACCAAGGAATTAATTCAACAATTCCCACAGGCAAGCAGATATTCAGCCATCCCCAGGGAAGAAGGGCTACATCACGCACAATGGCTACTTGGAAAGACAAACACCGTCACTCCAAATGTCCCCCCCTTCCTCCTTCTTCTTCATAAGTATGAATGTGGCTGTACTCTCATTTATCTTATTTTCCATGATGGTACCTCTTCAAAAAAATGTGGCATTTTTGCATCGAGTATTTTTGTGAAATAACTTGATTTGTAAAAAAAAAAAAAAAAAAATCTTAAATATGAAGAAGCCTCTACAGCAACCCTAATATATGAATTTTAGATAATTTTTTTGTCACTATATAGGAGCTTTATAAAAATATTGCTTCTACAGAAGCTCAGGGACCATGTTGAGGCCATGCCACATACCAGCAGGAGTGGATGGCAATGGTTCAAAGCTCAGTCCCCTCTGGATGGCTTTACTAGAACCTGCTGTATGACAGCTTCATGCTAAGACAAGGGAGAGGATCATTTAGGACTAGCAAGTCTTCATGTGCTAACACAGGATGAAAAATGCTAATATCTGTGAGCTTACTGCATCCTCTTCAGGCATGGCAGAATAGCTCCATAGCAGAGGCACCATGGAGAACTGGGGTGGGTCTCCACTGTGAGTGACAATCCAGCCAAGTTATCCTGACTTTGAGCTTGGAAATGATGCTTCCTTTTTGTCATTGGCTGTTGGAAACCCCTGCACATCCAAGCTCCAAATGAAGCAATGATGACACTTGAAATGGATCTTGACTCACTGTGCACATCCATATCTCTGGTACTGATGGTGATGCTACAGCATCAGATCATTGTTTTTCTTTTTACACACATGCTGTAATTATGTGGTATTGGCCAAGAAGGTTACAAATGTCTTAGCTCATTTTTTAGTGGTGCTTGAGTAATTGCTAGTACCTGGGATCTTAATGAAGACCACATACAGGATGCTTTTTATCTCATAAGAAATTAAAGTACATCTTTTTGTGGTTTGTAGTGTGATCACTAAGAAGGCTGGAATTAGTGAAATTACTAGGTGACTAAGAAAAAGGCATTCTAGTCTTTTCTACTCATTAATAAAGGAAGACTCTCTGTATGTAGAGCAAGACTGATTAAAAGTTTACCTTTGTTTTCATGCAGACGCCATAGGTAAGGACTCTGAAAAGTACTCAGCACTGATCAAAATGAGAGGAACCAAAAGTGGAAAAATTGTTGTCTTGCAGAGAGAAAAACCTGTCATCCATGATAAATCATAACTATTGAAAATATGCAGGTTTTTGTAAAACAAGAGTTTTTAATGGTGTCTGCTTATGCAGGACCCATTGGAATCTGTGTGTGCAAAATGCCTTTAATTGCAGAATTTTCTCCTGAAGCATTGTAGGTGTATTCTGGCTATATTTGCTATATTCTGAAATTCTCTCAATATGGACTTCTGCATATAAGATGAGGCCCAGTGAAGACAGAGCTCCTGAGTCCTACGACTTTTTACTTAACGCATTATTTGAATTGGATAGAGCTTTTTTGATAATATAAAGGGATCTATGTTTATTAGATTTACAATGGAAAGTAAGTCTCAGCTGGAAATGTGCAGCAAATACAACCTCCACATAATAATGGTGCTATGTAATTTATTAATCTAAAATATTCCAACTTACTACAGATACCCGTAAAATCATATTGGTAAATGCACAGGCACTGAAGGGCATATTATATAACAAAGCAGTAGAAGCTGCTGCCTGTGAAGACTTAACATAACTAGATAATTTCCAAATGCTTAATAGTATTTATTCATAAAAGTCAGGCTCTGCAATTCAGATCTTCCAAATAATTTAGCAAGCACCCAGGAAAGTTGAGATATCCTAGTTAAGGAAAAAAAAAAAGCAAACATACAAAGAATTGAGACAAATAGTGTCCATATTTTTAAGCATGAAGTAAATGCTAACATGCAACTTTTGCATAGGCTATCCATAGCTTCTGTATCTGTTTTCCTAAAACTCTTGATCTACTCTTTCAGCAGAACAGCACAGCAGATTGGTGAAAGTCAAAAGCATATTTGAGTAACCATCTTACACAGGTTTACTGAATTTTAGCCTGAAAAGAACTTGTGCACAACACAGGCCCTAAAGTCTCAAATGATTTTTCCTTCAACTATGAAATTTCTGATCAAGGTGAAACCTCTGGATTTTCCTTTAGCAAGACACTCATTCTGTAAAAGGTAGATAACTACATCCAGGTTGAATCTGAATCCGTGGCTGAAATCATAACTGTGAAAAACATATGGGTCATTTCCAGTCTGCATGTCTATAGTCTGCACAGAGAATGCAAAAACTCTGCTACCACCAGAGCACCTCTGCCTTCAACTCGTTTCCTCTCTTTCCCTATTCCCCTATGCCCAAGGAACCTTGTAAGTACTTGATGATGTATCTTCAGGACCTCATGGTATAATATGGAGTAATTCTGCAGAAGACTACTGAATTTTATTTGGACAGCAACAAGGATCCTGATTTCTGTTGCAGCCTTCTAGAGTAATAATGAGAAACTTATTGGAGGGTAGGAGTGACTGAAGGAACCCAAAGGAACTAAATGCTAAACATCAAGGACAACTGGTTATGTTTGCTTCCTTTGGCTGCCTCTCTCTCACTGTCTACCACAGAAAAAATGGGGATTTAGTGATAGCTTCTTTTACCATGACGAGAAATATTTGATTGTAAAAACAAACTCAATGAAATATTCAGTAATAAAATGGTCAAGTCACTAAATAATGTATCCAGCTGACTCTAGTGCTTGACCTTTGCAAAATTCCTTGGGGGTGAAGTACAAACTAATTTTTTTCTGATGGTGTATTCCTGTATTCACTGCTATGAGAACTCTGTATTTCACAATGAAAGCAACTCATTTTTTAGCTTTAATTATGCATGTTCTTCAGTGGGTGGCCTTCTTGCTTCCTAGTAGGTACTGAATCAATACCCTGGCATAGTGCTAATGGGCACTGTGCTGCTTGAGGTGCCATCTTTCAGAAGAGATGGTGAAAGCGAGGTCTCACTGCTTTGGGATTTCCCTGGCTCTCATGGCACTTTCTTCTTCTTCTTTTTTTTTTTTTTTTTAATAGTAATAAAGGTGTTAGCATCAGTGCTTTGGCCACAGTCCAAGGTGGATAATTACATTCTGTCTTCCTAAATTTTGCATTGTGCAGTTTTAATTTAATATGGTGCTCTTCTTTTCTTCCTGCCCTAAGTTGTTTTGTGTCGTTGCTGGGCACTATTAAATAACCTCCATATTTCCCCTGAGACAGCTGCATTTACACTGTAGGTAAGGCAAAGCCTACACATGAATTTAGTGAACCGTTCCCAGAGAAGTAAACACAGGCTCACTTGCAATTATTACATGCCAATATTTACCTGGACAAACTCCAGCTTTTCTGCTCTCCTCTGGTAGTTTACTTTCATTAGGAATTTAACTACCCAAATGAAAACAGCAGCTGTAGGGAACACTGTCTCTTCTCAAGAGGTCACAAGGCTCATGCTTGGGAGGACTTTTTCAGCAGGCAAAGTAGTTTTATCCTCTGTTCAAGAACATAAGCTTCTACAAGCAACCTTCCCCTACAACATGTGCTATTTAGCCATGAGCTGCACAGGAATGTTGAGCAGGATTACCCTGTCTCAGCTGGGTGGCTGCCTTCCCCCGCCTCATCCTTCTCACAGGGTCAGTTTGTCCTTCCAGGGAAACTGAATGGGGCCATGAGCTCCCTCCTGCTCAGTCTCAGTGTTCAGCTAATGCACATGGGGCTACCCTTCCAACAGACAAATTCAAACAGGCTGTACATGAATGCCAGCAAATTTCTGGATTTAGTTTACAAAGTGACCTTCCTGATGGTCTTATTTGTACCTAAATTCAATATGCTGCAGTTTAGTCCTATGACTCTGTGCAGATAGAAGACCAGGGCAGAGAGGAATGGCTACTACCAGTCATAACAAGTAGGTTGGGCTGGTATCGTGGGAATCCTGAGCGAGGAAGGAGCTGAAAGAGCTCCTCATAACAAGCAGTGCATAGCAACCTCTGCCATGAATACAGAGAGCTGGCCCTGCAGCTGCCATGAACACGGACACGAGACCTTGCCTACAGCACAGGAGCTGCAGTCCTTTGCCTGAGTGACCCCAGAGCACCAGGGGCCAGACACTGCTGCGCATTGCTCTGGGCAGCTCCCACCAAGAACATTTATATGCAATAGTTTTTCGACTGAAGAGTCTGTAAGAAAGCCTGGCAGTTGCCTGCGAAAGGCTCTGGATTGGAGCTTCCAGGAGCCAGGAGAACCAGTTTGCTTTTGGCATCACAGGGAGAGGGGGAAGTCCAAGTCATTGTAGTAATGGTTTGAGAGGGGCACTGACAGTGGTCATGGTGCAGCTGTTTGGGTTTACCTTCATGGCAAGGAGACCAGCTAGAGCTCCATGGCAAATGCTCCATGTGCTATTACCTATGCTACTCTCAAATATTACATATTGAATGCTTTTAGAAAATGTATCTAGATGTGAAAGCATCCAGGAGTCATCTATGCTGGATATAGTTAATCCAGAGAAGGAAAAGGCATAAATCTAACATGGCTTTTCTTTGGCACAAAGCCCTTCCTGGGTAGACACTGCTGCTCAGGACTGAAGTCAGTCAGGTGGGCATCACTGTCCTGAGTTTTTTTAGTTGTACATGCTTTCAGGAGCTGGAAGGGCTGGGGGAGGATCATGTTAAAACATAAAGCAGTAGTGATCTTATAGCACAAATCCTTCTGAGGGCGTAAATCAAGGTAGGCAGGTTTTCATCAGCTCAATTGAAAAGTATGCTAAAAGCAAATATTAAAAATATAAAACTTCAGATGCAAGCTGTGTAGCCAGAGCCATCCAAAATAGGCTTATGGCTACAGCTTATTAAATATTTTTTAAATTAATGTATTTGAAGTCTTAACTTGAAAATAAAATCATAGGAGCAAAACTGTATTGCTATAAATCAGCAAGACTCCACTGATTTTCCAATTTACTGTATTTGAGTAACCTTAACTATGTATTATCTCACTTGGCTTTAAAACATTGCCAGAACTGCAGGCTTTGAGGCTTTTCCTACTGACAGTATTGCTTCCATCTTTTTTTCTTTTTTAAATACTGCATGCTTTTATTGTTTAATTTAAAGCTATTCAACCTTTCCTCCTGCTATTCAAAGACATTTTGTATGTAAAAACAACAATTTGGACCCAAAATCACCACCATCTGCTTATTTATAGCATGATCCAACAATAAAGGGAGTCTTTATTAAGCCCTTAATGGGAGTCACATGACTGTGCAATGAACTCAGTTTTCATTTTCCTGATAAAAGTGAGACTATCTCTTTATTGGTCCCTATTATTATTTTGTGATGTTCTGAAACAAGAATATTAAAAGAACCTTCATTTCTTGAGACCCATCCCCTTCACCTGATTGTAGCCATTGCTTTACTGGGTATGTAGTGTGAGTCTGGTCCTGGCATGCCATTAGGTGCCAGAATTAAATGTCTTTATAGATTTGTTTTTATTCGTTCAGTGTCTGAGGGGGAAGGTAAGCTGATAAGTATGTTGCTTTTCAAATTGCTGAGCTATCCTTGGTGTGACCTCAGGGAAAAAAAAATAAAAAAAAAAGCACCAAACCAAAACCAAAATCTTGCAACAAAACCAAACAGCTAAAGAAAAAATTAAGCCAGTCACTGCTGGTAGAAAGTAGAGATTAAATAATTGAAGAAACCAGCCTTGTGTAAGTATCAGCACCAAGAAAAGACTCAAATATGTTTTAAACTTGCATGAAGTTTCTCATAAACTATGATCCTGAGGACTTGGACAATAAAAAAACCTTTCTCAGTTCTAAGAAGAGTATGTGGGAAGGAGCAAAGTTGTTGACATCCTCCTTCACGTGGATCACTTTCCTTCTAACAAGGACACGTACCAATTGCAGTGCAGTACAAAGGCAGACTTCTGCTGCTCTCACAGTTCACTTCTGACCCTTAAAAAACAGTGTGTGGGGGCAGGAAGCTTTCACTTCAGAGTGTTTTCTAAAATCTCACTGTTGCAGTCAAAACTATCCCAACACACTTTTACAGGCGGAGGTCACTGCACTACAAAGGTAGATATTTTTTCTACCTTAGATACAAAAAATATTTTATTGGCTTTCATTGAGACGTATGGAAAGTGCTCCAAGTTCATAGCACCAAACTCTGATACATCCCATATAAAAACCACAGAAAAAGGTCCTAGAGTTTACTGTTTCAGTTTTACATATGCAGTTATACTAGCGGGTAAATTAAGGAAAAAAAGGTGATTAACATGTATCATAGTATCTTTTTAATACAGCTACACAGATATTCTCTTCATAAAATCTTTCGAGTTTGTAGGGTTAGGAGGCTTTGCACTGCGTATCCTACTCACCACAGGGGCTTTAATCCTGCTTGGCACATGTGAACAGGGATTTGTCTGTCCAAATTACAGGTCTACAAAACAAGTATCCGTATCTGAACTCTCTGGCTACATTCCCATTTCAGCTAAAGAGAGGAATAACCATTTCTAGATTTATCTCCTCCTAAGGTAGAAATTGAACGAGCACAGATGGGTTATGCTGTATCAACAGCTACTTTTATTCCTTGACTATGCCAGACTGTACACCACTAGCTCTGAGAGACACATCCAACCCTCAGTCTCTGGCTGAGTTCTGCATCACTTACAAAATGGTGGCACCCAGCCACTGCTCTTTGTAGGTCATGCTAAATACAGATTCTCTTTAGCATTCTATAAAACTAATGGGTATGAAGGCAAATAAGGTGGTATATCAGTATAAGTGAGAAGGAAACTAGACAAATCTATACAAAATGTGACACATGCTCCAGAAAAGAGATACACCACACATCATTCAGGTGGTTGGCACATCAGTGAGTACAAAGAGACCATGTGCATAGACTGATTTGAGTGAAATCCTGATCCCACTGAAATCAGATGCAAACATGCATCCTGAGCAGGATCCAGACTTCAGCCTTTTTCTGAAGAAATGGCACATTTCCAGTACAACTACCACGCAGGAAAGAACTCTCTGACTCTGGGGTGCGCTTTCAAGGAGTGTTAAGAAGCTTAAGCCCACTGTGATGATCTTACTGATTGTGATGTCCAGCCTACAGAATATAACAGCAATCACAGATTGAGGCAAATGAGAGCCTCAGTCTTGGGCTCTCAGAAGGATGATGAGTTTGAATCCTCCAGTGAGAAAAGAGCTGCAAGCAGCTCTCCTTTCCATCTCTGTAACGCATGGAGAGAAAACAAATAATTATTTTTGCACTACCTCCCAAGGAAAGCAGTAGATGCTTTTTTATTCAGATGATGTTGTTCGAGCCTGTCCACAGTGTTCCTGCTCTGGCCACAAATCAGTGGCTGCCTATAAACATTTGGATGATTTCGTTGAATCTAACAACAGCCAGCAGTGGTGGACAGCACAAAAGAAAAGTCAGGTCATTGGATTTTAGCCAGCTAGCTAATTCTGACCTCCACAACAGTCCGAGGGAAGAATTTTTAAGCACTGTGTGTGAATACAAACGTCAAAGATACATGATCTGTTTGCAAAATGTAGCCTGACACACAATAGAATATATGACCTTTAACTCCATGAAATACCTGTCAGCCAGTTGTGCTAGGGAAGAGTCTACATGCAGTGCCTGTGATATGTTGATTCTCTTTTCAAGCAACCCAGGGTTTGTATCTTTTAGTCCAAACATTAGAAAATGAATTGACTACAACCACAGCACTCATGTAAAAGCAATGTATCTGATATGAGTGATACAGATAACAACACCTTTCATCAAAAGATCCCAGAGGTACTATGCATCTTATTCACAATAGTTCCAGTCCTGTAACAAATTCTTGCTTAAATTTATATACAAGCTGCTCCACTGAAATCTAATCATATGTGTAAGCCCTCTCAGAATCAGGGAATGGCACTGCACAAGAATTATATTTGTCTCTGCTGATAACAAAACTCTCTGTAGAGCAAAATACAAAAAGAAACCCTGTTAACTGCCTGAATTCCTTGAAGAATTTTGGATGTCAGACCCATGTTTTGTCTATGCCATCATCCTACTCTGCCTGAAAATACTCCAGGTATTTAATGACAAAAGATACACAGGATTTTCTGCATCTGAGAAGCTGAATATTCTTCTGGGAAGGTCTGAGCTTTTAAATGAACTTTCTCAAGTGGGTGACTAATTCTTTAGCAAAGCCAGAAAAAAGTCCCACAATACAAATGAAGCATTAGAGTGGGAGAAATACCTGAAGAGGCCCCATTTTTATACATCATACTCAGCACCTCAGAGAGAGAGAAAACTATGTAACATACCAAAATAAAATTAGGTAACTCCTCCTTTCCTCAGACTATTTTACTAACCTGCTGGGTTTCAGTATCTGTGCAGGTGAACCCAGAAGCAAAAGGAATCATTTTATTAAAGAAGAACAACTACTTTTGTAAACACATAAAAAATGAAAAAGCTTTCAATCTTATTCTTATATAGATTGTCAGATAGCTCTGGTTACCAAGTCATGATCCCATCAAAAATATCTATCTAAAACATGCCAGAAATGTGAGAGCAGTCTAAACCTGAAGGCTTAGCCTGTCTCATCACACAGTTGAGATGTAGAGCTGAATTTTACCAGTCTGGAATTTTAGTTTTGGTCAACATCTGCTATCAGCAGGAGAGGAGAAATTCTGAGAGTTGATTTTAAATGTTGATGCTCTTTATACTCAGATCTTGTAAGTGCCACATGGAGTCAGACCAACGGTCCATCCTGCTCTCTCCTAATCATGGTCTCTCAGCAGTATTACTCCAATGTAAATAGTGCAGAATGCTGAAAAGCAAATTTCAGATCTAATTGTCTCTGAAGTTTAGGGAAGTTCCAAACCTATATTTGGACTCAGATATGACCCTATGCCAACATAACACTAAAGCAAAACATAACCTGGGATTGGTATGTTGATTGCTTTGAGAAATTACCAACATGCAGGTGTTTGCAATTTCTCTTGCAACAGCCACTTTTATTGAGCTTCTAAAAAATTATACTTCTAAGTATACAAAATAATAAATACATGATAGAAACATTACTAATGTCCATTCTTTCCCCCCTCCCACGTGTACCCCTTACAACAGTTTTCAAGCAGCATAAAAATATTCTTATGATTACTGTAACACACTACAGTGAAGTAGCATAAATCCCATACAGTGAACTTGAGATGCAGTGTGCCCTTCTGTTCCACTCACACGAAAACAAGGGTGTTCTTACCCACCTTGTAATTCAGTTCAGGTACTGCCTCTCAAATACAAACTCCCTCCCCAGAAGGCAGTTTATGAGCGTTATCAGATAACTGCTTATTTTGAGCTGTTAATGACAATACCGTTGTCTGCCAAGTGTACTAAAGCTTCTGCCTTCTGTACAAGTGGAATTCAGCAAATCAAATCTAGGGGAAGGGATCTAACCTCTAGTGGTCTTCTGAGGAAACTTTTTACTGTCCTTTCTGAACCAGTAAAAGAGCCCAGGCTATGCTATTTGGCAGCTTAACATCAGAGGAAGTGCAAAGTAAAGAAATCTTCGCAAAGCAAGTAAGTTCAAACACATACCCCTGCCAAATCCTCTTCACTTGGAATAAGTCTTAGGTGACATATCTAACCTCTACTTCAGTCTGCATACAATACAAAAAACAACCCAACTCGTTGATGTGGAAATCTTGAAACATCATGAAATGAAAAATTTTATCAATATTTTACTGAAAGTCTAGACCCACTTTTAAGTCACCTAGAGATATTTTTAAAATACTGGGATTTAGGTGACAAAAGAATAAATGGATGATAATTTAATCTCTACACCTGTCTAGTTGTATTTAAAAAAATTATATTGTCCTCTTTTACACTGATGGTTTTATAATGCTGTGTTTCCACAAACTCGAAAGTCTCCTGTGTCCTTGGGAGAGATGAAGACTTGCTCTTCACCCAGCCAGTGATGTGGACACAATCAGTGAACACTCAAACCTGTTTGTGCAGCATCGCCACGCTGCTGCCCTCTCCATGCAGGTACACATGGAAAAAACTCATGGGACAGACCTGTGACTCAGCTCAGTCCCAGTCTGGCAAACAGGTGATGCCAGAGCTGATCCCACACCTCTGGCTTATTCGGGGAGTCCCCTCAGAAGTCAGGAATCTGGCATCTGAAGGTCATGCTGGCTCTCAACTTCTCCCTTCCAGCCTGATACCTTCCCTACAATATGTGCTGTATGTTCCAATTATTGAGGAAAGCCATTTGCTAGATGGGTCCCAAACATGTAGCCCAGAAGTCCCAAGGCTGATGGCCAACATACTGGCTCCATCTTCTACAGCTCTAGTCTCTGTTAGCACAATGCAGAGCAATGAAACCTCTATTGTCCCAGCACCTCTAGTCAGGATTATCATGTTGCTTCCCCTTCATCTTCCTAGGGAAGATGGGAGAAGTCAAAAGCTGGCAGCATCCCACCAGAAAGACCCCAGTGTTCATGGAGGCAGTACTGAACATGTCTTATAGTCCATGGAAGCAGAAGCAGATCCATCCACCTTCCACTTCCTTCCTCGAGGCTGGGAAGGTCCATGCCTCCCTCTGCTCTACCCTTGGAAACATTTACCCCAGTTCACTTTGCCCAGCAGAGCCTGTGCTCTCAGTATTCTGTTGTGACACTTCCCAAACAACCATGAGTGCCTTCAGAAGCCCGAGGGTAACAGAGGATCAGGTCTGTCATATTTTGTTTTTACATCCTGCAAAGTCTTTTAAATTGTTCTGTGTTTAATAATCCAGGCCCCATCTGATGCCCCACTTTCAGACTTGAGTCCTGATTCCTTCCATCCAATTGACAAGATGAAGGTTTTTTCTTAAATGTCTTTTAACAAAACCTACATGGATATGCTCACTAGTGTCAGTGATCCGGAAAATTTGCTTTGTCTTTCTTTGAATGAACATGCACATTTCAGATTTCCCTTAAGCTTTCATAATTATTTCTGATCTGGATGGTTTTACTTTGTCAGCCCAGCTGATACCAACCAGATGAGAGAAACGATTTGAGGGTGGCTTTTGTCTAGGAGGTAGCAGAGAATAAAACCAGCAATAAAATTCTGGTAATTTCTCATTTCACTGTAAAGACATATTGTGGGTATTTGCATATTTTGTCTGTGAAGCAAACAGAGCTACAATCAGATGACATGGCAGGAAAGGTTTGAAATGCTGTTCAAGATTTAAGGTGTAAGTGCTTATTAAACAAAAAACTTTCTGAAGCATGAAGAATGCTCAAAGGAAAGCATCATTTTAGGCATCTTGCTCAGTAACCTGAGCAGTTCTCAGAAATACCATAGAGACTGGGATACTGAACATAAGTTTATATGTGTGAAGTTTGTGTACACTACAGTGAATCTGTACATGGCCTGTTAGTTTAGCTCACAATCCCAGTGGATAAAACTCTACTTCCTGTAGAGCTCACAACAAGTTGAGAGCTGGTTTCAGCATTTCACTCAGCCCCATCTCTGCATCCATCAGCTGACCTCAGAATGGAAGGGAAGTTGAGGGAGGAACTAGCAAGACACAGCTTGTAATGGCTGAGTCATAACACTAAACGCCTCTAACTCAAACTAACAGGGTCATTTAGGAGGAATGACTTGCTGTGCACCCGCTGAAGAGGAGAGGAAATTCTGAGTACTTAACATTTTAGAATAAAACTCAGAGGTTCCCTTCAGCTGCATTTAGTGTCTGAACAAACTCCAGGGCACAAACTCCAGTGCCAAGTTAATACAGACTTCTATTTGCAGAGACTCATTAACGTTGTGCACAACCGCTTAAAAAAAGGTTAAAGTCTTGGCACAAAACAGCAATAGCAACTATTGATTCAAATCTAGAAACTCTTCAGCTCTGACCATGAGACTCACCAGTTGGGGAAACACTGAAGCATTGAGCAGAGTTTTAAGCAGACACCAAAGTACAGAGCCACAACCAGAGGCACAGAGGGGCTTCAGGCACAGGCAGATCAACATCCTGTCCCTGCAGTCACCACAGTGTCCCTTGTAGTGCCAGCTCATGAAGTCTGCAGGGGCAAAGCTGCTGTCATCCCAGCTAACTGCTCCCCAGCAAACCAAATTTGCTTATGTACTTCCCTTAACTGCATGCTTCAGTTCTTCATAAAAAACCCAGAACTTTAAAAATGAGACACCATCATTCTATACTAGAATAGGCTTATACTAGGCATTATTCCATACTAGAATACTGTGGATTTCCTCTTTTGTAATTCCTTTGGATGTGAGGTTAATTTTGACTGTTTTTCTCTTTGTAGATACTTGGGCTCATTTAAAAAAAAAAGTAAATAAAAAAAAATATATATTTAAAATATATAAATAAAAGAAGTAAGCACTGAAAGTGTGTTCTGCTCATTCATTACAGCAGTGGTTTTAGAAATAGGTTGGAAGAAACTCAGGAAAAAACTCCAGTTCAATTGGAAATTATCCAGAAACAAAGAAAAAACAGAAATGTGAACCTGGAGAGGCACAGACATTGTACAGGTTTTGATCAGGTGCTGAGTTTGATGGCTCAGGCTCACCTGCATCTTGTCTTGCTTCAGACCTATAGTGTGTGTTAGAGACCTCCAAGTTATTTCACTAAGATTAAGAGCAGACATTATTTTATAAGAAGTTAATGATACACTTTTGAAGGGGTTATTTGGTATGAAATGCTTTTCATCTCCCAAAGATCTCAAAGCACTTTACCATTCAAATGTAGTGATAAAGATGGCTCACAGTCTTACTTCTCAGCTGTAGCCAGCTGAGGAATGGATAGCAAGAAACATTTAGCAGTTCCCCTTTAATCCTACATAAATCTTTAGAAAAGGAATTGAAATATACCTCTCTCCATTGAAATGGTAAGGGAAATGTAGGTGGAAAGAATTTAATTATCAGAGTTGAAATTTGACATGGGGAATACATCACACTTTCTTATGGTATGATGACATTCATCTGCTCTGAGTGGCATTCTGCATGCAGCATATACAGCAAGCAGTCTGAAGTGCTACAGCCTGAAATCACTGCCTGTCCTGAAATGATTCCTGCAGCAGGAAGACTGGTTTGTAATTAACACAACTTAGCATGCTTGAAATCCTTAATTATCTAGGGGGCATGGAAGGAACACTACGGGCCTCAATCCTTCATCTGAAGGACAGATGAGATGGTACGAGAGTTGTGTGCCCTCTGTCTGCTTCCTGACACTACCACTGCAAAGCCACGAGTGAAACAGCTCCTTAACAGGAGTCATGAAAGCTCAGACATGGGGAACCTTAATTGCTGAAGGGCTCTCAGAGAAGCAGAACCGTGTTCTCAAGGTAATGTACAGCTTAGTATCTCATCTGATGTCTGGAGGTACCTAAAGGTGTCACTAACAAAATTCACCAGCTACATTAATTCCTTTTATATTTACTCCCCCCACCCCCAAAAACCTCCTAACTGGCAACAGTGGTAGGCAGTGAGTTGAACCTGCAGTATTTATTATGCCAGAATTGAAAAATAATGATGATGCAAAGGATCTTTAAAGATCACCAGGTTTAAGTTCCTGCCCCCAAACAGGCTCAACTACACTTTATAGTATTTTTGGTGAAAAATAATCTAAACAGTTCTTAAAGCCTTTCAGTCCTGGTGAGACCACCTACCCAGAGAAGTCTATCTCAGCATCTTCACTGTCAGAAAGCATTTCCAATTCTCAAATCCAAATCTTGTTCTCCTGTCCACTGCAAAAATGAGGAAGCATGTACTAAGTGCATCCAGTTTGAACTAATGCTTTCTTTAGAAGACTGGAAGCAATACGTGTTGTCTAGCATTGCATTTATGAAGCGGGGCCAGAAAAGACAGTATAGGGAAAAGAAAGGCAGGCAGCTGAAGCATCAGGCATAAAGAAAAGTTAATCATGAGTGATATTTTGTAGAGTGAATGGATGTAGATTTGATGAGGTACATAAGTAACATCCTGCAGGGTCAGCGGGGAAACCCTAATTAGGCAGGATGGCCCTCCTCATTATTAATTAGAGTTATATGCTTGATTGAATAGCTACAATTCTTCCTAATACTGCAGGAGGCCAACAGGAAGCCTGCAGCACACAACCAACCTGTTTCTCCTGCTCTCTTGCACACACAGGCACATCCAAGTGTTGCTGTGCAACCTCTCTCTTGCTCATATGTATTCTCATGCATACACAGACACACGTAGTGTAGGACACCTCCATCTGCTTCCTTTCCTTTAACAGATACTGCTTATCAGGTGCCCTGTTTCAGAAAAAAACAGGGTTAACCTCCTCTTCTAG